AACTCTAAAAAAACGTGTCACAGGATATGCCATGTAGGATGAGGGCGCTGCAAGCGGCTGCTGGAGGTCATACCCGCAATTACTGACTTTTCATGATTTACTGTAGTGACTTCTTTGACTGTGTAACATATCACTGTCCGGAGGCTATCATGTTCTTTAATATTTTATCTTAAAGTTTATACTGACATCAAAGTGTTGATATGGTTTTCTGGGGGTGTTCCTTTCTTTTGAATGGCATCTTATGTCAGATTTAATATTATTGACCAAAATATCTCACAACAGAAGACTGGATGTTATTATCACTCAGTGACATACTTTTTTAATGACTCAAGCCAAAAGAAAATTATTCAGCACTCAAAAATAACAATGATAAAAAATATTCCATATTAAGTGGTAACCCTGTATATATGCATGGGTGTGTGGCTGTATCAAGGAATTTCCCTTTTTGTCGTATTTATCTCTCATTTGTGTTTTTCGTGTCCCAATGAAATGTGATATTTTTTTGGCCAAGACATTTCTACCAAGTTGGCAGTAAACTAATGTAAAAATGTCTTTATATTTACTTGCGTGCAACTCCACCCAACTACGACTATAACGACCAATAGCGTGCCCTAAAATTTGTTCATTAACTGCATCCCCAGAAATGCACTGCATGACGTCACGCTTAGCCCACTGCGCAGGCGTGCACTTTTAATGAGTTGCTAGATTGCCATAGGAAAATGAATGGGTTCGCGATTCGTGGGTAATTCGTGATAATTGACAAACTAACGGCATGATGCCGATAGATAGCAACGCTGTACTATGCTTCAAGCAACTCCTGACCAAATATCGCTAGGGTTTTTAAAAAATTCTGTTGTACACACGTACTAAGAAATTTGCCGTGTATTGCCTAGCCTACCCTCAGCAAAACGCACATATTTTCAGAAATAGTGATTTTTGACGTTAGATTTACTCAGAAACAAAGGCAAACTAATATTCGTTGCCGATAGCACCAGCAGATATCAGCACCATACAGAGTCTGATTAAAAAAAAATCGTGGCAATTGAAGAACTTTTACCACTGTACAATGGGGTCAAAAAAGCACTTGGCACAGATGTGAAACTGCCCAGTGCAAGGCCAAGAATTCAATCAGTATTATCAATCATATTATCAGATCCTCTATAAATTGACTGACAATATCACTACTCAGTATTTAACTAATCTCTTAATCCAAAATTCCTATCATCATTTAATAATAATGCACAATTCTTCTTTCAGATTGCTATTTATTTTAAATTTTAATGTTGCAACTGTTCCAAAATAATCTTGTAGTAAAGGAAAAATGCAAATAAGTAGTGGAAGACCAATTTTACCCACATTATTCAATTAGTTGAATATAAAAAGAATAAGATCACGATTTAACAAATTAAAATAATCTTTCATGAACTTTTTCATGAATAACATATTAAACAAAATTAAAGTTATAAATTAGTGGTAATGGCTTATTCTGGAATATATGACCTCTGCACATCATCAGTACCTGACTTGGTACAGTATAGTTACTACTTGGATACAGAGTTAGATTTAATAATGTAACAATAAGAACAATATATATTACAATAAACTTCTCTGCACATATCAGACGCTTGTTACCATGAACTAACACTACTTCACAATGGGCTGAGCACTTATCACAGTCTGAGTTTGATGCCATTGTTGTGCTGTGATTGGCTTGTTGAGTCACTTGAAGCCCTACTATAGCGCCCTCGCGTATCGTGTGAATGCTGCGCATTTCTGGCCATGGTTTGAATATGAAAAACACATCGGCCCCAGTGTCTGCATCTCACTACATTTAAGATTTACTAAATTTACTCCGTTACAGGCGCGGCAGTACAGTATTATGCTGAGGTGGTGGAGAACATTTCAAACAAGTCCCCCGATGGATTTGAGGCACTCTGTAGAACCCTGACCACAGCAAAGTACATGTACATGTGCACACCAAGTTCAACAACCCGTGGTCTGAAAGGCAAAAGGTGAGACTATTTTAGGCACAGTGCGAGGAATGTCATACATGCAACTTATTTTTCTCCAATTTTAGTAAATTCTAGCATTTAAGTTATCAGAAATCAATATATATCACACGACCACACATTTGAGGATGTAGATTAATATTCTTCTTAAACTCACGTGTCCTTTGCATGTACTACATGCAGTATGCACTTGTGTTTCTGTGCACATGTATAAATTCTCAGTCAGGACATCCTTCGTATTCGCAGTGTACCTTTGGACCAATACCGCCAGGACACGTTTATTGCGTACGCTGAAGAGGATGAACCTACCATAGGAGCAGTTGTACGGGAGCTAAAGAAACTCGAAATTCAGTGTTGGTTCGCCGAAGAAGACCTCATTCCTGGAAAATATGTGAATGATGAAACTGTTAAGGCGATCAGCACATCTAGGTTTTCGATCTTGTTCCTATCCAAAAGTTTTATCCAGAGTCGTGGGTGCAAATACGTGATGGAGAATATTATAGAGAATGCTAAAGAGAAAGAACATGGTGTTATCCCTGTTGTTATGAACATCTCTCCTGAAGAATTCCCTGAGGGATTACGCAACTGGGAACCCCTCTTTTTCGATGACGAAGAGCTCATTCCAAAGATTGTGGCAACTATAAAAGGTATTCGAGTTATTGAATATATATATATATATATATATATATATATATATATATATATATATATTTTTTTTTTTTTTTTTTCCTGCATAAAATACATAATACTGTAAACTTTACATATGACGCTATATTTGTTAACATTACATATTCTGTCGTATGTAATTTATTTCATTTGAGTGTAAATATAAAGCATGTGTTGTCTGGACTTTTCATTTAGATTAAACATAATATTTTAATGTTAATACCTGAACACTAATTGCATGTTAGTCATTTAAGGGATGTGCATTTTACGGTTGATAATATTGGTACTTTTTCTTTCGGTTGATACTATTTCTTTCTTCAAAACAGGATCAAGAGACATCCCTACGTATGGTCAACTACGAGATGAGAACGAGGCTTTGCGAGATGAGGTCCGGCGATTAACAGCTAAACTTTGTTTACAGAGCCAATAAATAGAGGTCACTGTGTATAATAAATGCCAAAAGCCATTCCTGCAGGAGTTCTTTTTCGAGAAAAGTGGACCTATAACCATGAAACCTTTGTGTACCTAGATAAAATTTTACACAGTGGGACATTTTTCCTTGGAAAAAAGGAGAGTAATTTAGAAACCCCCAAAACCATGCATAAATGTTCTGATACTTCATTCACTGGTCACTCATACAAACATCGGACATCAAAGTATCGGACCCCAGTGCAACATTGTGTCAGAGTACAGCATTGTATGCTGTGTGATTAAGATTTTTTTCAAATCGTAAGTTTTTTATTATTTACTGAGCATACCCAGTGTAAGAGTGTGTGCTCTATGACTGTGGCATGCCCGCAAGCTATCTATAGTATAACTGGCTGAAATAGTGGTTGGATAGAACCAAGATCGTGTGTGCTATATGTATCTAGGATGTGCCCACTATATTTCTATAGTTACACTGTACCGTTGCAACTGTCCAATACTGTCCAGGCTCACCCCAAAATTGGACTATACCGGTACATAGCCTGGACTACAAGATCTCACGCTTAATTGTTATGCGGTTAATTATTAAATATCAGATAAGGTTTTGCATGTGATACGTACTCATATATCCTGAGTGTAAGGGTGTACTGACTGTGATGCTTTGTATTATGGTTCAATCTCTATGTTACGTCAGTGGATCTTTTGTATGCTCTATGTGACCCAGGCCCGTAGCCAGCAATTTCAAAAGGGAGGTTCTTTTTCTGAAAAAAAAAGTGGACCTTTTCCCATGAAAACTTCATGAAGCTACATCAAGTTTTACCCAAAGTGGACCTATTCCCACCTAAAGGGTCTGTTCTTTTTTTTTTTTTTTTGTAATGTGCTAATAACTGTTATAAAATATTCACAGTGTTTGGTTTGACAGGTTCATCATGCTTATAAGCTTAATGCTACTTACTAAAATACAAGGCACAAATTAGTTAATGCGCGGCATTTTTCGCATAGAGTTACATTTTTTTACATTTTACTTTTGCTTTTAATTGCTTGAATAAAAAGAATTGAAATTTAAAAGAAGTGGTAGAAAAAAATTCGCAAGTTTATTGCGAAGAGAAAAAGGGAATGCAACGTTTATATACAGAACAATCCTAGAAAACTACCTACCTGTTCCAGTAATACGTGAAAAAAACTTTTGAAAGAAGATGCAATGATAATTAAAAAGATTGAATCATACTGGGTCATCTCTTATTTAAACACGATTTCCTAAACAGTAGTACTTAATAATCTCTGTGACAGGTGTTCTGATTTTCTAACTTCTATCTTGAAAATATATTTTCTATCAGTAAAGCCTTGGTTTAGTGGTTTTTAATTAGATCCCTAATTGGCATTGAAAATATTCGTAACCTCGGTTAAATATTAGTAGAGACATGTCAGAAAAGGGTTTTGATTGGCCGACAATTGGTTTCAACTTTCACACCAATATAAGTCGGTATTAGTAAAAAAAATAAGTGTATCAGACTAATACGTCCTTTACGAAAGTGGACTACTCTGTATTCGTCCTGAACATATAAGAAGATCAAAAGTTTGATCTAACAGTCTAAACTAACTCAAATCATTAAAATCATTAAAACGCTATTCATAATAACGGCGTAGAATTTGTTTGTACATACAGTCTTGCGACTCATTCTCATTGAAAATGTATGTCTTCATATATCGATCCACCTTCACGGGTATTCTCGCTGAATGGAATTAGTTTAATAGATTAACACGGGGTCGAGTAGAATACAGAAAAGCTAGTGTTTATAAGAGTACATGTGCGTTAGAAATACGCATTCAATTCATAACCCCTCAGCAAGGTCAAAGATAATGGGGAAGACTTAGAAAAGACACCCCATCCGAAAGTTACTGCCGAATGGTCGGAGAACATTGACATTACACATTTAGCTTGAGATTCAGAAAGAGATGTCGCAAGCATTGTAACATATTTTGTTGACTGACTGTTAACCCCATAGAGCCTGGCAGCATCTGACCTAGAAAGTGCCCTTGGTCCTGAGCCCTCTACCCAGATGTACTCCATTTTACAGGCAGCCTCATTTAATCAATGATAATGCATTTACTTGTCTAGAAAACACCTAAAAACTGTACATTTTTAAAAAGCCAAGAATGTAAGCTTTAAAGTCATATCAGTTTTATTCACATTTGTTAACTTAGGTAGAAATAGCAGGAGTTTAAATATGAGACTTGCTTTTCTCGAAGAGAAGTAAAAAACAAAAACTTTAATTTCAGCATGCACATTCCTTTTCACTTTACCAAATAATTTGTTGAAATTTTCTCATAAACATTCGAAATGTGTCTTAAACAATGTCAGAAAATTCCAGAGAGATATCAAGATTATTTAGTTTTTGAGATATAATAAATTTTCTGGGATGCGTGCTGTACCTAAAAACCTGCATCACGACTAGAAGACTAGAAGCTGACTAGAAGACTTCCACCTAATTACTTTTATAATTACAAAAAATATTGTAAATTTAGTGCTTTTTACGACAGTTTTTCATAGTTTTTTTAATCAACTGATCCACGATATTCACAAAATTTTGTTTAGCTCTCAAACCATATACAGGAATACAAACATTATCATGAGCAAATATTACACTTTCGTGAATAAAAATTACATCATAAAAATACAAGTATACGTGTCATTTGTACTAATACACAAGCAGGAAAAGATATGTTGATACAGCGCACTAGTAAACATATTACATCTTTATTTATACACAAGCAGGGAAAGACGTGTTGATGTAACACACAAGTAAACAGATGTCATTTGTACTTAGACATAAGCAGGAAAAGACATGTTGATGCAGTACACAAGGCAACATTTAGCCTGACTTGCCACGGTTACAGTCATTTTATCAGCGATATAGCCATTCCAATTACTTTTGTCGTCTGCTTGGTTACTGCCGTTAGTATCATCAGCGTTTTTCATAAATCAAGCCCCACGTCCGAATCTGCTCTCTGACAACTCATACTAGGCAAAGGTACATCATCTTTGAAGTTACCGGAGTATCACAATCTATCAAGGACTCTTCCCAGAAGTCTGAATTTTCTAACAAATCTAAAACATTTCTCAACCCATAACTTTTGCTGACTTCTCGCCGCCATTATGACTTCATAGCGCCTCGACAGTTGTTGAAATAAACCGCTTTTTCATTATCTATTTCTCGCTACACGATTTTCAAAAGCCGGTAGTAAACAAAAGACTAACATTAAGTTAGTCTTGTGATAGAAGCATGAATTGTTACAAAAGACAGGGGACAGTACAAGCATGTAAACACAGAAACCGCGTATATGCGGTTCCCGGCACTGAGGACTTTTTAAAATGAACCGCATATGTACGGCAATAGCAATAAAAGGGAATTCCCTAATAAAACTTTCGTCACCTCTATTAATAATACCTGCAGCTAAGTCGCCATTGTGCAGGTCGTTTCCAGCTGGTAAATTAACATGATATTTTATCAAATTTTGAGGTGTGATGTCAGCCACATCAGTGTCAACGGGTGACATACAACTAATCGTAACAGAGATGTAGTAGAAATGGGTATTTAGGGTAAAAAAATTCCGCACGACAACATGAAATTTCCAGTTTACGCGTAAATATCGAGCCGGGAAATTACTTGTACATTGGTTTCGGTTCGCACGGAAATGTGTTGTTACGTGAATATTTCGTAATTGTCCAGTTTTAAATAATTTTAATGATTATTTTAATTGATAGGATTAACTCATGTGGATCCTTCCCCTCTTACACACAAAAAATGAAGCTGGAAATAATTTAGAAAAAAAAACATTATTAAAATCAATGGTGGAGGTAGGGGAGGACGGAACGGGTAGGAACCACCTTTTCCACATGCCCCCCCCCCCCCCCCCGAAAACGCTTAAAAAGGAACAAAATAGGCAAGTTGTCTATAGATGCACTCTCCTTAGACAAACCCCGCTAGTGCTTAGGTAACTACAGGGTCACAAACGCATGGATAGTTCAAATTGGGGAAAAATTCAACCTACACGGTTAACAAAGTGGTAAGGAAAATAATGCTTCTGTGTATTTTTGTTTCTATGACTTGTTTCTCATACAGTTCCACTCATAAATCCGCCCATAAACCTGTGTTTTTGTTAAGGTGCTAGTGTTGTATATGTCTAGGTATTTTTTTTTTTCATCATTGTGTGTGCCAGTTCTGTCGATGTTGCCTTCTCCGTCCGACACGTCTTACAACTGCTAAACGGAGTGTTTGATTGATTTTGGATTTGTCTTGTGTCTTTATATTTTAATAAGTCATGTTCCTTTTAGAATCAGCTTGATTGGTCAAACTGCATTTTATTTCATTCGACAAAGTTGAGAAATTGGTTCATTCAACGCTTCGCTTGGCAAATATCGAATATTAAGCAAAGTCATTGTTGTTACTTTATGTAGGTTATAGAAACATAACGTTTTCAAAGCTTATTTCAAGCACAAAGTCAATACAGGACGCTTAATACACAATGGAAAAAGGCAGTTTCCACACTCCCATTCACACCTTGAGTAAAAAAAATACTGGGAAATAATGAGAATTAATGCATGTACATTTTTTACTTGTATACTATATTTACTATTCTTTAAAATTCCAGACAAAGACATCAACGGTAATAAAAAAGGGAATTTTCTTAAAAAACTCCCTCGCCACCTTAAATAATATTGTATAACCCTTTACAAGTATGTTCTTGATTTATTGACCGTAGGGTATTGCAATTTTTGTGACAAAACACCAACAGCGACTAATGGGGAATTTCCTTTTCTATAAAAAAAAAAAAAAAACCCTCGTCATATATTATTACAGAACGTCGTCATTTTTACGGGCTGTTTCCAACTGGTAAGTTGACCTTACATTTTATTAATTTTCGTGGTGATTTATCTACCGAGTAGATATGAACGAGTGACATGTAACATTGTCACTGGGGTGTCCAGTTGTAGTGAAAATGTTGGTACAACATCTTTCTTCCGTCGTGAAAAATGATGAAAGAGTTGATCTGTAAGGATCGCCCTGCATGGTAATTTTGACGTAACGTTATCTTTAGACCTGAATGTGTTTTACTGGAAGAATTCCAAAAATTTCTAAATCTAAAGGATCATTTGAAAAAAAAAGCATTCATTAATTAGATTTATAGGCATAGTGACATATAGAGACAGTTAAGGAAGAATATTTAGCAAATTTTGGGAGGATCGCGCGAGAGCGGCGAGGAGGGGAGAGCACAGTGAAATGTGACAATGTAAACATCACTTATTTGTATGCTTTATTACGTTGCCGTCTTGATATCAAATATTTATGCTACTAAAATCCGCCTCTGTACTCGTGCATATATAACTAGTATTTTAATTAAATTAGAATTTTTTATTTAAATGGTTTTTACCAAATAAACATTGTTAACACGGGTATATCTATTGTTCAGGTAACTAAAAAAGGGGGAATTCTCCTGGTAATGTCTTATAATGCAGGGTCTTTACAACTGGTCAGTACGATGATGTTCTCATATCTAAAGAGATATTGATGTGAACAGGACGTGTGAAGCTAGCAGTGATTGGGACACTGGTGTTATATTAACATGGGTTTTAAAAAATCTTTGGCATTACATAAAAAACCCTGGAAGTTAATATTTGTCCGTGGGTAAAACAAAACAAAAACAAGCAACTTTTCAAACCACGTACGTGACCTTCACGAACAGTGCACCCCCATCTTGAGCGAAACCAAGCTAGCTGGGACCTGTTTATAATGGAGTAGCTGGTATTTAGGTAGGCCACATAAGATTTATTCAAAGCACACATGTTACCCTGTGGCGAGTGAAACAACAAATTGGCTATTTCCGACATCATGTTGTATTCTTTGTATATTTTTGCTGCTTACTGAATGTATTGTTTTCTGGTTACACTTGATCGTTTTGCACATTTCATCTTTTTTATATATTTCAAATTATGATCATTATCCATCTTATTTCAGAGTCCATACATACGTTGCACACTGCGTTGGAATATCTACAGTATAGGCACCACCAGTATGGGTGACATAGAGATTCACTTGGCTGCAGGAGATGGAAATATAGAGAGGTTACAGCGTCTGCTGACTGACAGGCAGCGCGACATCAATCACCAGGGCGGGGTAACAACTTTAATTTCTCTTTCTTAAGTTACGCCATTCTCAATGTCTGTTTATTTGTAACGCTACACGTTAGAAATATCGATTTGTTTAATACAGACGACCGATGCCATTGGCTGAATCTTCCACTGATTAGTTCCTCTTTTCCCTACCTTACGACAACAGGTTTTCTATGTGATGGGCACCAGTTGATATAATTTATATCCACATGCATATATCAATGCACTGGATTTAAGAAGTTAAAAAAGAATTCTATGCCTGCAAAAAAAAAAAAAAGAAATATGTGTGTGTGTGTATGTGTGTGTGTGTGTGTGAAAGCCACTTTTGTATTTTAAACCAATCCAATGATGTACATGTACACTGTGTGTACTCATAAACTAGTAATTCGGCATGAATTGCAATGCAAAACAGAACAAAACAAAATGTTTCCCGTAGTGCTTGAACGTGGCGATATCAAATTGTACAGTCAACGTGCATTTTATTAAATATCCATTCCTTTTTTAAATTTAATATAGAATAGACGATTATAATTAAAATTATAACTTTGTTTAACCCCTATACCGGCTGTTAATAAAACCCCTATTAAGAATTATTTGTTAAGCGGCACCAACCAATCAAGTCCTATTATCAAATCCAACACTTGTTTCTACGACATTTGTAGTTTTGGTGTTTTACCACATTGTTTGTATATATGCACAGTGGGAGAGGACCCCACTTCACAATGCTGCCAGTGGCGGCCACACAGATTGTGTCAAGTTTCTCATCCAACACAGGGCGGATACCAATATACAGGACATGGTGAGTGTAGAATTGTCAGGACATAAAGGCTTGGATACATGAACGTACATATACATGTACGGTGCCCGTTTTTCTCCGCAAATGTTAAGAGTAAATTATGCAGGGTTTACATCTTCTTCATCACATTTCTATAATTCGTTTGAAGAATCAGTGCAACGTTTTTAATGGCAATGCTTTTTTGTTGATAATAACATTAAAATATATAGTTTGTTGTTAAAAGTCCTAAATCTGAAGAAACAAACATGTTTCTAGTACGATCTATGATTTGCTGTATTAAATCACATAGTTTGTATATATCCACAGTGGGAGAGGACGCCACTTTACAAGGCTGCCAGTGGTGGCCACACACAATGTGTCGAGCTTCTCCTACAACACGGTGCGGACACAAGTATACAGGATCGGGTGAGTGCAGAATTGTCAGAACACAACGGCTTGAATACATTAACTTGCATGTACGGGGATTGTTTTTCTCGGCAAATCTTTAGTAGAAATTATCCAAGGTTTACAAATTCATGGCGTTTTTAAAAGAATCAGTACAACGTTTTTAATGGTAATGCTTTTTTGCTGATAATAACATTAAATTATATAGTTTGTGACTGATTATCTTAAAGGCTTAAATGTGAACAAACATGTTTCTTGCACGACCTCTGATTTGCTATATTAAATCACATCGTTTGTAAACACCCACAGTGGAAGAGGACGCCGCTTCACAAGGCTGTCAGGAGCGGCCATACGGAATGTGTCCAACTTCTCCTCCGTCACCGGGCGAATACCAGCATACAGGATGAGGTGAGTGTAGAACTGTCAGAGCACAACGGCTTGGATACATGTACGAACATGTACGGTAACTTTCCCAGACAGCCTCAGTAATCTGGCCCACGTCTGGCCCAGATCTGGCAACGTCTGGCAATGTCTGGCAAAACGTATGGCCCACGTATGGCTTGCCAGATCTGGGCCAGATGTGGCAATGTTTGGGCCAGATCTGGCCCAGACATTGCCATATCTGGCCCAGTCCACATTTGCTCATGTGGCCAGATGTCGGCCCAGATCTGGCAATATCTGGCAAAGGTATGGCATGNGCAAATCTAATTCGCAAGGTTTACATTTTCTGCAACGAATTTCAAGAATTCGTTTGAATAATCAGTGTTAAGTTTATACATGTAATTTTGTTTTGCTGATAATTACAATAACTTATATAGTTTGTGACTGATTATTTAAAAAGCTTGTGTTGGTAAACGTGTTTCTACGCCATATGATTTTCTGTATTAAATGACGTTGTTTGTATCTATCCAAAGAATTGGATGACACCACTTCACCTGGCTGCCAGAGGCTGCCACACAGAATGTATCGTGCTTCTTCTCCAACATGGGGCGGATACCAGTATACAGGACGTGGTGAGTGTAGCATTGTCAGAACAAAAAGGTTTGGATACATGATCGTACATGTATGGGAACCTTTTTCTTTGCAAATCTTAGGAAAAATCTGTACGAGGTTTACATCCTGCTTATAACCATTCGGGGATTCGTTCAAACCACTATTCAGGATAAAGTGAGTGTATAATTGTCTAAATATATGTAACAATGTGGTTACGCTTAATTTTCTCGACTCACATAAAAAATTATTTCTTTCTCGCATACCTATTATTTTTTAGTCTGTAGCTCATTATTCTTATACGTGTGCATGTACATTGTACTTGTATTGATGTACATGTTAAAGCATTTCATGTTAAAGTATTTCAGCAACATAAGGCATGTATGAGTCTTTAATCTGAATAATATGTATGTGAGATAGCACACTGTTATCCGAGCGATATATGCCAGAACACGTCAAGAAGGTGACAGCGTATTATATATGACATTGAGAGAAATACCTCACATTTCATTTTGAAAAACCATTGGCCGAATAAGGCATATATTAACACGAACACCTCCCGTAACATCTTTAGGTTTGCACAGTGTATTTTTACACAGGAATAGTGTATCTGGAAAACATTTTCACTGGTCTTTATAAGTCAACTTCAATTACCAGGAATGTTGGCAGAAGAAAAAGAGTGCCTTGCCGTAGTAGAACTGCTGAGGCGTTTTGAAAAACATGATGTAAAGGTATATGTTTAACAGTGTGAAAGTGTTTAACACATACTTGATTATGATGTATTAAGCTTTAATAGTACATTTTTATTATATTGGGAAATCTTTTAAAGTTACTAATTTTGAAGGACTACTATGCATATAATTTGTATTGGCGTTTTCCAACTTCACGTGTTCCATTGCATGAAAGTTATCTTATAAAAATATTTGTCACATGAATTAATATACAAGGAATATATTAAAATTCATGCAGAGCTACAGCATACAGAACTTGGGGGACACAATTTATTGGCATAGCCACACAAGGGGTCTTGTTATATGTAGCAAACTCGTAGCCGTTCTTACATTATACCAGTTTCTAAAATAGTCTTGTTGATTCGATTTTGACAGATGTACATTCAAACCAGGACTTTGGAGCACCTTGCTGAAATATTAGACCCTACAGAATATCACGGATTTAACTCTACCAAATTGGATCCGAAATTACCTGATCTGTTGCAATTCCAAAAATTTCAAGGGGTGAAAGATTGGATTGCCAAAAACAATTATAACACTATTAAAGATATAAGGGATGGCCTACTGGCTGCAAACCTTCTGCGACTGTCCAGTAAGTTATTCACTTGTGTTAACTTATTATTTCGATATATTAAATGGTTTTTATCTTAATACATAATCTGTTAGCATGTACACTAAAGCGACTAAAAGCGTGCTTTATAATCTGTTTCCTAACCGATCCAATGATTGAATATGAAAACACATCGAATCTGTTTCTGCAAATATATTGTGTGTGTGTGTGTGTGTGTGTGTGTGTATGTCACTATGTTTAAGATGTACTTTATTTTCGCCGATGCAGGTGCAGCAGTAGAGTATTATGCTGAGATCGTGAAGGAAATTTCAAACATGCACTCTGACGATTTTGAAATCCTCTGTAGAACCCTATCCACTGCGAAGTACATGCATGTACACACAAAGTTCAACAACTTGTGGTCCGCAAGATACGAGGTAACTTTCATACTTGTATGAACCGATTTGGACGTTGTCGGAATTTTATTTCTTTCTGTTGTATTTCATTATTTTATTTTATCTGTTAATTTTAATCATATTAATTTGCAAACAATGTTGTCTGAAGTTAAAATATCATATTAGTATATCGTTGGAATTCACCTGATTGAAGCAACCGTTTCCATTCCTCAGCTCTTCACTGAATCATGTCCGCTACGACGCATTTATTGCACACAGTAGCAAAGACAAGGACGTTGTAGAACCAGTGATAGAGCAGCTAGAGGAACGAGGTACCCAGTGTTGTTATAGCACACGTGACTTTGACCTAGGAAAGTCACTTACAACCTCTATTCAAAAAGCAATTGATGAATCAAAGTGCACCAACGTGTTCCTGTCTGAGAACTTTATGAAGAGCTCGTGGTGTGAATGGGAAGCTGATCGTGCCATTACCAATTCGGTGAAGTCGAGAGGAAACGCCGTTATTCCAGTTCTAGTTGATCTCACTCCACAACAAATCCCTTCTCCTTTCGAAGGCATAGCACATATTTCAGTCAAACACCGAGCATTGATTTCAAAGTTAGCTGATGCAATTAAAGGTATCTGTGTTTCAGTCTATACAAACGTTTTGACTTTGTGATTTCAGGCGTTTTAATAAAACTCAAGAAGCACTAGGTTAAGTCGGTATTAATACTGACGCAAGGTTACTAGTACGGATTTGTGTAATTGCATTTCTTACTCCTCTGCTAATATTAGGTTAGTACTTTAATTGAATTAAAGGTGACATGGTGTATTTGGAGGATTATCCGTCGATAACATTTGTTTCCCATGGGCGAAAACTAATAGTTTTTAAATCTTACGTTAGTTTTTTTTTTAATTTAAATCTTGGTTCTTTGTTTAACAATAGGACCCAAAAAACTTCCGACGAACGGGGAACTAAAAACTGAGCTTCAAAATGCACGTAAAAAAAACAGTTACTGGAAAATGAGCTTCAGAACGAAGGTGAGAAAAACCAACTACTACATAAGAGCTTCAGAATGTACATGAGAAAAACCAACTACAACAGAATGAGCTTCAGAATGCACGTGAGAAAAACCAACTACTACAAAATGAGCTTCAGAATGCACGTGAGAAAAACCAACCAGTACAAAATGAGCTTCAGAACGAAGGTGAGAAAAACCAACAACTACAAAATGAGCTTCAGAATGCACGTGAGAAAAACCAACAAGTTCAAAAAGAGCTTCAGAATGCACGTGAGAAAAAACAACTACTACAAAATGAGCTTCAGAATGCACATGAAAAAATCGAATTTCAACTGGACCATATCAAAATGTTGACAACCAAGCTTCAACTGATAATGCTTCTTTGTTTGTTTGTTTGTTCGTTTTTTTTTTTTTTTTTTTTTTTTTTTTTTTTTTTTTTTTTAACCTAATTTAAGTATCCGAATTTATACATTGAGGATGTCACAAAATAAACAAATTTGTCCTAGAAATGAAGGTCTTAATGTTTCTGCTGTAAAAATGCTTTATTCTCTATGAAACGTAGTGATGATATGTTTACTGAGAACATATTTATTTATGCCGTTGTTTTAAAAGTGGGGTTTTATTCTTGTTTTGACAGTGAATTTCTAATGTATAACCATATGTAACTAACAAGGATATGAAGTTTATTAAACAAACCATGGGTTTAGACTTCAAGCATTATACCGTAAATTATAGCAGTCTTGACTCCTTGTGACTAAGGAGGCCATTGCGTATTATACTTCTGTGAACCGTATTATTTCCCTGTCTTGAAAGAATTCAGCGTACCGTCACTGCTTTTAGTAATCATATATTTGATGTTATATCACTTTTTTTGCAATCTGGCAAAGAAGTGTTCGTGTGCAATAAGATATGTGTTTGGAAAATTCATTTGCAATCTTTATGTGATCTCGAGCTACTATACTTCACGCATACAGTGTCCGATCTAAGTTAGTTGCATAACATAACGTTGCTTATGTTTTTAGTGCTGAATTAAATATGGTTTGTGGACATTTGATATAACTGAAATAATTTTTATTGTGGTGATTGGAAAATAATTATATGTAAATAACACTACGCTTCGTAGGAGTAGCATGCCCAATATAGGAAACTAATTAAACTAAATTATATGTAATTTATTGTCAGTAATTTTCTTTCGGGAAAATTAGATATATATAATTACGATTTTCTAAATTGACGTGGGGAATTCACTGATAATTTCAAAGAAATGTACTTACCAACTTCCTGAATCACTGATGTAATCGCAATGAATTGCACTGATCCAGGGTTACGACTTCTACCAGCTTACCAAGTTTCATTCATATCTGATGCAGATAGAGCAGTACTTTTGTAATGAGGCGATCTGTGAACTGCCAGGTGTGGGGAAGGTAATAAAGCACATGGCATGATGTAAGACAGGCACTATAGGCCTGTCAGTTATTTTAGTATTATAACAAGAGGCAACAGAGTTAAGCTACTCTTACAACCGGTCGTGCGTGCTTCTACGAGCGGTTTGCGTGCAAAAAATTGGCCAAGTAGTAAGATACACGCACGTGGAACGTACTGTTTTTGGTGGACGCAAACACGACGCAAAGCGCAGCCCGAAAACTGGCCGGCCAGTTTTTCGCTACGACCTCATTGCGACAATTAGAACGCCTGGAGCACGCTCGTAGCACGCAAGACAAAACTACTGAGTAAGTGCGCTAGGCGTGCGTGTAACGCAGGAAAAGCATGCAGAAATTCCGGGGTATTTTACCACGAAGACGTACTTACCACGCAAGAGACTCGTACGTTCAACTTGCTTTCAATGTACGTGTTAACAAAAAGGGGGGTGAGCGCACTTCCTCCGTGCGTTTATCTTACTTCCAAAGTGCGTGGCGAGTACTACTACCATACTTGTGAAGTGCGTCACACTAAGACGACGCATGTGCCCAGCACGATAAAAGTATACGTTTCTCTTACTTCGTAAGTACGATTTCTGAAAACGTACGCTTCACTTGCAATACACGTACTGTATGATTATCTCACTCACTGTGTGCGACACAAGTACAGATCGTACGAGCTCCTTACTTCTTCCTACTTCCAAAAAAGGCGTACAGACCACTTGCGGGCCCCACGTTTAGAGCACAACACACCTACTCATAAAGTACTTACTACTTCGTCCGCTGCGATTTAATTTTCATCCTGCGACAACGCTACGTCTGACAAGAAATACGAGGACGCACGATCTCTAAGCACGCACGACTGGTTGTAAGAGAGGCTTTACATGAATGGTGACAAGGGTATATGTGCTTTCACTGACTAGTGGTTAGCGCAATATATACGTTTTGATAACGTTCTACGAATTTCAGGTTCAGCGGAGTCTGCGGAGTTCGCAGATGTAAAGGAAAAGGTTCATTGGAAAGGCGCAATGTCTGTCTTGCGAGCCACAGGGGCCACGTGAGATATCCTTTCAAGCAAGATGGGGGGAGGCTAACTGCATGGTGCGATGGCCTTTGAAATTGAACTCATTTCTTGAGTGTGTTTTGCAGCCTGCGTACGTGGCACACACTTACTAAGGCACGGCAAAAGAAGTTCCCTTTTGCGTCTCTTTTGCTTCACACTTGCCTCACACATTTTTGATAACGTACTGACGACGTACGTCACTTTTACTTCCTGTTCTCCCCTTCTTTTTTCTTCCTCCTCCCTTCTTTTCTGTTCTCTAAGCTTCTTTCTCTTGTCTTTTGGAGGCATATTAGAAGCCGAATTGAGAAATATTTGAAGATATTGAAAACTATTGTATACGTTGCTCAATCGATGTTGCCAAGACACAAGCGTGCGTTGTGAGGACGCATTTTATACTGACGCACGTGCGACGCATTCCAGTGTGCTTTCGGCTTTGTTAGTTTCGTTAGCTGTGAGGGCGTGCGCCGTACTCAACACGCATCCTTTATTGTTTGCGACGTGCGTCCTGGACCACGCACATTCTACTTGCGGAGGGGGACAAGTTACGCTTGCGGCCTCGCTGTTCCCGATTATTCGTAGAAACTATTGGGCACGTCCAATACCCTCCCTACGTGCTTACGGGCTGTCTGCGAACTCCTGATTTTGTATGAAGCACTTGCATGGGACGTGAGATTCTGCGCCAAACAGCCCGTAAGAGCCCGTACGGCCGGTTGTGACCTAGGCTTTATGAGCACCGCCATTATGCGTTTGCGCGTTAACATCTTTCAGCTAGATACTGCGTGTCAGACCTTTCACATCTAACTTTTAGATTATATCAAAGAAAAACAACTGCAGTATGCTCTTTCACCTTGCAAGCCAATGACAATGATTCGTACACGTTTGAGTGTTTCTCTTTTTTATTTCCATGAGCACTAAATCATATTTGCCTACCCATTGTCGCCACCGATTCGTTAAAATAGCATTTTTTTTGTATGAGGAAGTCATATCATCATAACAGTGTACGATATTTTAAATTTTCATTATATTATGGTAGTTTATATTGAAGCATTGCCACTAACTTGGTTTACACAACCACATATCTATTTCTAAATCTATTTAAAATGCGCAATCCCCAGGTCAATAAACTTCATTCAATCATGTTTTGCGTTATGGATACATTGACGACAACAGCAACAAAGGGGAATCCCCTTAAAGCCCCGTCAGGACTATTAATATTTGACTCCATTTATACGGGGCATTTCAATGCTGTCATTGAGATGTGGTATTGATAACATTGGGGAAAAAAAAAAAAAAAAAAAAAAAAAAAAAAAAAAAAAAAAAAAAAAAAAAAAAAACTCCCCACGACGTCATAGTGTGAAGATCGGACTGGGAAATTGATTTCGGTTGACACCTGATTGTGTTTTAACATGCCAATGTCATGAATACTCAGAGAAATAATATATAAACGATTATATTAATGTTTATAATTAGACCCCTAAACAGTTAAACCTAGAAGACATTTCCTATGCGATGTATGTACATTGTAGGGTGCTGGTACCTATATACTGCACGTAAATCGTTCAGCGTCTGTTTGGAGGCAGACGGTGACCATTCGAGATTATAAGAAAAAGCACAGATTCACGAACTTCTTAGCCTGTACGATTTTGTTCTAATTAAACTTTTGAAAATTGTGAAAACAGTCCCGCATGAAAACGCAGTAGATACTCCAGCGCAGTAGACTACTGCAATCATACTGCAAACATGCCTAAAATCTGCTTCGATGTGGGAGCTAATTAGCATATTTGAAACATGCTTCTATCATGCTGCTAATCTACTGCATTAATGCTCCTCCTCTGTACAACCCTATGTAAATTTTGAAGTAGAATTGCAGTAGGCTATACTGCATTTCTACTGCAAATATGCTCCACACCACAACTGCACTAATGCTTCTTTGCTACTTCGATACTACTGCATTTTCTTGCGGGGTAAGCCTGTAGGCCGTAGCATCATTGAAGATGAAATAGCAGATTGTGCACATTATGATAACGGTTGAACATGGTGTTGGTCTCTCGTCATTTCACCTTTGGTGATTTTAAGAGACATAACTGTCGAGAATATGTTTCGAACTTATTGTGGTTCAATACATAAATGTGTTTTCTTTATTCTGACCACATGGGTGAAAAGATCTAGGAGTACTGCCCCGACAACGTTTGGATCTTCAAGGAAGCCGATTGAAAGGCGTACAATATAAAGGCTCTGTACGACAGATTTATTACCGAAACCCAGATTTTCACTAAGTTACCTCAAATTCATGCACGGCACTTATCCGTTATGTTACTATCGTCAACAAGCTCCATAGATATTTATAATGTGAACAAAAATTTCGTATTCAATTCATCTTGCGACATTTTGTCATTAAAACCATAACAGTGTGTTTTTTATTTTATCATATAACGGTATTATAGTTTTTTTTTTTTTTTTTTGGTTTTTTTAGGTCCTATTTTTGTCACTTACTTGGTTTACACAACCACATGCTAATTTCTAATTCTATTTAAAATGTGCAATTCCCTGGTCAATAAACTTCATTCAGTCACATTTTGCGTTATGGATACATTGACGGCAACAGCAACAAAGGGGATTCCCATAAACCCCCGTCAGCTCTATTAATAAATAGACTCCAGTTACACAGGACATTTCAATCTGGTAAGTTATTATAAAATGTATAAACGTTTGAAGTGATATATTAACCACACCATTGTCATCTAGAGAGATGTAACTTGTTGTCATTGAGATGTCGTAGTGTTAATTATATTGGGGCAACAGCAACCAAAAGGTTTTCTTTAAACCCCGTCAGATCTATTAATGAATAGACTCCATTTACACGGACATTTCAATCTGGTAAGTTAGCTTAAATTTTATAAACGTTTGAGGTGATATATTAACCACACCATTGTCATCTAGAGACATGTAACTTGCTGTCATTGAGATGTGGTGGTAATTATAACATTGGGGTAACCTCCACACGACGTCATGGTGTGAGGAAATTTGGGTTCGGTTGACACCTCTATATAATTAGGAACCCATCAACAGTAAAGCCTAGATTACATTTCATATGCGATATTAGTACGGTGCTGGTACCTACATGTATATACTGCACGTAAATCGTTCAGCGTCTGTTTGGAGGCAGACGGTGACCACACGAGATTATAAGAAATCGCACAGATTCACGAACTCCGTAGACTGTGCGATTTTATTGTAATAAACCCTTTGAAAAATGTGAAAACAGTAAGCTTGTAGGCCGTAGAATTATTGTAGATGACATAACATGGTTACCGTACGTGCATGTTCTGTGGGTTGGCGCTGCAGATCATGATAAAGGTTGAGTATGTCGTTGGTCTCTCGATCGTCTTTCCACTTTTGGTGATGTTAAGAGGCATAACGATCGTGAATATGTTTGGTTCAATACATACATTTGTGTTCTTCATTCTGACCACATGGGTGAAAAACACCTAGGAGTACTGCACCAAAAACGTTTCGATCTTCAATGAAGCCACCGGGAAGGCGTGTAACAACTGCACGGTGTCTGGAAAGGCTCTATACGATAGATTTATTACCGAAACCCATATTTCTCACAAAGTGACCCCAAGGCCATGCACGGCACTTGCACGTAATGTAACCATCTCCAAGATGGTCCATAGATATTTACAATCTCAACAAAAAAAAAAAAAAAAAAAAATATATATATATATATATATATATATATATATATATAATCGTATTTAAGTTATCTTGAGGCACTTTGTCTCAAAGCCGTACCAGTGTATATCTGTTATTTTATTTGTTCATGGTATTATAGTAGTATATATTGAAGCGCTGTTATTGCCACTAACTTGGTTTACACAACCACATATTTACTTCTAAATCTATTTAAAATGCGCAATCCCCTGGTCAATAAACTTCATTCAGTCACATTTTGCGTTATGGATACATTGATGGCAACAGCAACAAAGGGGAATCCCCTTAAACCTCCGTCACCTCTATTCATAGATGGACTTCTTTTACACCTGATATTTCAATCTGGTAAGTTAGCTTAAAATCTATAAACGTTTGAAGTGATATATTAACCACACCATAGTCATCTAGAGACGTACTAACTTGCTGCCTGTGAGGTGAAGTAGTATTGATACCATGTGTTTACGTGTAAAGAATGAAATGGGAAATTTGGTTTTGGTTGACACCTGAATGTGTTTTAACGTGAAAATTTAAGAAATACTACTAAAAAGGTGTGAACCCCTCACTTTATTTCTTTATTTCACTTTATGACTTTACATTGCGTATTTTGATACAAATGAATATAAGATCAACGATTCTATGGATGGAGATGTTTTTTCTGTCTTGTAATCAATAAAAACATGGATACAAGTTATGTGACAGATATAGAACGAATCGCCGTACGTGAAGCATTACGATTCCAGCAAAAGGCGTACAAGCCACCACCAGATATATCATTGACTAGCTTAAAACACAAACTCTGAATTTCTACTACGGTGCCCTCGCACTATTTTACTCATACATGTTTGGGGCTTACTCCTAACCGTAGGTCAGTTGAGTGGAGAATAATAAATTCCAGACAAAAACTCTTTCAGGACATCGGACACATTAATCAAAAGTTGTGAATATTTCTATGGCAATAGCGCCCATCTTGGATATTTTAAGATGTCCAAGGTTGCCAAAGAGGCAACCGAGCTAAACGTACTTGAGAGGTCATTAGGAACCCGAAAAAAATCAAGGTTTGGAATAGTTTCCTTGGACTATTCTCCTTCTCTAAAAGGATCTAAAAATTAATATACCGACTGTACGTGGCCTACATTGCACTCCTATCCTTAGCGAAATATAACTCGCTCTAGGTTATATTTAGGTAGGACTAAACTAAATCACCTTCGGCCGGTATGACAAGAATGTTAGTCCCCTAGGAACCGTAGTTTAACTTCTATGCACCCTACTGTTAATCATTTGAGATATGGTACCAATGATAAAAACACTGTTTTGGATGGTTAACGGCTGACATGCGACCCTTTGTCAACAAAAGCATTATTGAATAGGAGGTAATTATTTTACCAAGAGCGTATATGTGCCCAACCCTGTCCTAGCTCTGTTCATTTTCAGTCAATGCGTATTGTGCATTTCTTAATTTTACATATTTAAAATAATTTGTGTAATGTTAAATGCATCTTATTTCAGACATCTGAACGCACACAGTACATTGTGCTCTTCGTTTGAATATGTAGAGTATAGACACCCGACCAGTATGCGTTTGCCCAAGCTTCACGAAGCTACAAGGGAAGAAAATGTAGGATGGTTACAGCAACTACTGACTGCCGGGAAGTGCGAAATCAATGAACAAGCCTGGGTAGGTAACGACGAAATATTTACTTACTCTTTAGTCAAACCCATTGCCAATATGTTGGTTTATGATGAATGCTTAACGCTAGAAAATTGATAACATAGACGAAGACACCCCCATTCCATGGACAAAGTTACACTTAAATATGCCAAAAGGAATTTTTAACAGGTTTAGGAAGCGGGAGGGTAAATAACTAAACCCAAATTTAAGGTATTTCACCCACAAAATAATCATAATTATTATAGTTATAACGAGTGCAAAACTAATTTTATTATAAATATCTTAAAAGGCAGGTGTTACGTAACTTATTTTGAACGGTATATATCATTTGACTCATACAACTGCCATATGCAATTATTACAAGTCAATAACCGCTGCCGACCAGTATTTTCAATTTAACAACCGGCCTATGGTCATTGTATTAGGCTGCGTGGACATGAAGGTGTTTCTAAGGCATGTGACGCTTGTATGCTTAAGCATTTTGTTTATACCTATCCAAAGGATGGTAATACACCACTTCACGAAGCTGCCTGGTGCGGGCACACACAATGCGTTAAGCTTCTTCTCCAACACGGGGCGGATACCACTATGCGTGACAGGGTGAGTGTAGGGAAGCCTGTGCAACACAACCTTTAATTTCACATTTATATTCTTGACAATTAATAATTTGGAAGAAATTTTGTGCCCTTTGCACTTTCTGCTAACCGGTTTTTCTTTTATTACTGATGATTAAAAAAATAGAATCGAAATAGTCGTGAAACTGAGACATGAATGTATAATGGTTAATTAAATCATATGAAAATAATCGCGTTTCTGAAAACAAGTATATACTATAATTGTACATATCCACAGGATGGGAGGACACCACTTCACGAGGCTGCATGTAACGGCCGCACACAATGTGCCCGGCTTCTCCTCCAGCAAGGGGCGGATACTAGAATACAAGATAAGGTGAGCGTTGGATAGTACATGTAAGAGCAAAACAGTATGACTACATTATGCATTTTAATGTATTGTACTAATAAGAAGTTCTGCTAGATTTACATAAAATGCTTGTTTATCTTTCTGTTTTGTAAATTAATGATCATTTAAAGACTGGGTTTACAACAGGTATTATCTATGCATAGTCACATTGTTTGTACATATCCCAGAGCGGGAGAACACCACTTCATTTAGCAGCATACTGCGGCCACACCCATTGTGTCCAGCTTTTTCTCCAGCACGGGATGGATACTAGCATACAGGATGTGGTAAGTGTAGAATAGTCTGGACACAACAATATAGAAACATATTCTTATCACTTTTCTTACGATAAGAAATTAATTTATTCTTACGTTATTTTGTTATTGAGTTTGACAACTTTGACTTGGCTTGTACCAGAACATGCTATACGCTTGTTGTAACGACATAAAGAATAGTCGGTGTTGTTACCAAGTCTTTTTTACATATCTGTAGGACTAGTAAACATATTTAGCATGTTTACAATAACTTTCTCATATAGTTCGTAACATTTTCCTGTTATCGCAGGACAAAAAGACAGCAAGAATGGTGGCAGAAGAGGAAGGGCACAGTACCGAAGCAGAACTGTTGAGGCGTTTTGAGATACCAAATATAAAGGTATACGTGTACAAGAGTGAACGTGATTATATAACGTTTTACTCGGTTATAGAGTTGGTTTATGATATATTGAACTTCAGCAGTAAAGGTATACTTTATTTCGAGTAATTACCTATTTGTGTTTAAGCATATTGTAAGTAATCTTTTGAATATATTTCATGCACGAGCTGTCTATAAATCAAATAATAATTGCGCACCAGAAAACAGACCAGTAGGGATTAAAGTATGTTTTTTTATAACCGTAAAGCCATTTTCATTATAATGTCTGTTTTATTCTATAACGTGTAGTTGCCATAAAAACGTTGATTGATATACATTTTAGGTATATATTCTCACCAGGACTTTAGAGCATCTTGATGAAGTAATAGACTCTGCTGAATATTCCACCCTTCAGCTAGACAACTCGGGCTTGAACTTTCCGGGAGACTCAAAATTCGAAAACGTCCAAAAACTTAAAAAATGGGCCATCTCGAGAAATTGCACCACTATTAGATGCTTACAGGCGAAGCTTCGGACTGCAAACCTACCGCGACTATCCAGTAAGTACCTTGGCATGTCAAATTTATTTGAGTCATATAAGAATCTAGTAGAAGTGGTTTACAAGTGTTACTGGGAATCCACGCTCCACCGATGCTCGGTTCGTATGTACCTTTAAAGTAGAATTTGTGATAACTAATAAAATTGTTCACGTCCGAAAAATCACCCACTAAACGATAAAGGTAAGCCCAAATTGCCTGTCTGTGCAAACCCGTACAGGGCCCGTAACTCGAAATCATCAAGCATTGCGACCGAGCGCAAGCGTCTCGATTCCATAACTCGGCTTTTCTTGCCCCATATAGGCACTTATTACCTCGAAATGAAAGGCGATTTGCAATGCGCGATGCTTTAGAGTTACGGGGTCTAGGTATGTTTGCATCAAGAATGCGATCTTTGAATTGTTTAATTTTACTGGTATGTTATGTACACGAGATGGATTTATAGTCAGGCATATAATAAATTAAAAGATGTATGAATGATTGTGAAAAGAACATTGCATCAGTTTGTGTTTCTGTCGTTACCTGGTTGACAGATATACTTTGCTTTATTAGGTGCGGCATTGGACTATTCTGCTATGGTAGTGATGCAGATTTCAGACATGACCTCCAATGAATTTGAAGCACTTTGCAGAACCCTGACCACTGCGAGTGGACTGAGCGATACTAGGTGTGTGTCCTAAAACTAAGAACGAGTTATCTAGATAAAATTTATGCAACTTAAGTTGAAGTTAAAATGTCTTACCGCAGTATGAACAATGTAGGTGCATCATTTGAGGAAATAATTTAGTTATACATTTCCATTCCCAGTTCCTCACTAGATCACCGCCGCTGCGACGCATTAATTGTCTACAGTGGCAATGACAAGGACGTCGTAGAACCAGTGGTACAGCAGCTGGAGGAACAGGGAGTCAGGTGCTGTTATAGTGGACATGACTTCCGCCTGGGGAATACGGGCAAAGAATCTTTTGAAGAAGCGCTCTGTGAATCAAAGTGCACCATTGTGTTTCTGTCCAAGAGCTCCTGGAATAATCAGTTTTGCAAGAAAAAATGGATAATGGCATTATCGAGAGCTATACATAAAAGAGAATATGCTGTTATCCCAGTAATATTTGATCTTCCTCGTCACCAAATACCCTCTTATTTGAAATACATAAAACCTATTTCAGCCGAGAGCAAAAACTTGATTCCAAAGCTAGTTGAAGCTGTTAAAGGTATGGTTGGATTGATTTTACACTTTTGTATGTGCTTTGTTCGTATTTATTCAACTCGTTATAAATACACGGAAAGGTAGCTTCCGTTCGTGTTAATGGCCTTTGAGAATGTAAAGTAATATGCCGCTGTGAACGGAATAGCAATCCTAGTAACGCAAGTCTGACCGGACACTAAATCCTGGGAATGCAAGTCCTGGGTCTAGCGTTTCTAGGAATGGATGTCCTAGGACATACGTTACTAGGATTTAACGTCCTTGGGACAACAGTTACCAAGGGATGTAAGTCCTATTGCAAGGAATGCAAGTCTGGATGGGACCTGTTTTCCTGATCTATACTAGGACTATATGTCCGATTTGACTTTTTTCTCTCACACTTAAATGGAAGTTACATATAATAAATAATAATATGTGTGTATTAAAATGACCGGGGTGATTACCTTTATTATTTTGATATTCACAAACTAAATGAAAAAAATTAATTATGAAAAAAACACGTAAGAGTTTGTAATAAATTTATTATCATTTTAGTACACCTATTCATTTCTCAGATAAAATTTCAAATTGAAGGAACCTAGGTCCGTAGGGCCCAGTTTCTACATACCTCTTTATTTTAGATCTACTTAATTTTCTCCGATACAGGTGAGGCAGTACAGTGTTATGCTGATGTGGGGGCGAACTTTTCAAACATGCGCCCCGATGAATTTGAAGCACTCTGTAGAACCCTAATCACTGCCAAGTACATGTACACATCACGGTCAACAATCCGTGGTCCGCAAGTTACGAGGTAACTGTTATATGAACCGTTGTGGAAGGTTTCAAAACTTTATTGTCCTCTTTCTGTTGCATTCCATCGTTTTATTTTAATCGATGATTACATTCATTTTAATTTGCAATCAATGTTGTCTAAAGCTTAAATATCATTCTAGTAAATCGTTGGAGTTAATTTGATTTAAAGAAATGTTTCCATTCCTCAGCTCTTCACTAAATCATGTCCGCTACGACGCATTTATTGCACACAGTGGTGAAGACAAGGACGTCGTAGAACCAGTGGTAGAGCAGCTAGAGGAACAGGGAGTCAGGTGTTGCATTGTCAGACATGAATTTCACCTCGGAACGTGGCTTTCAACTTCTATTGAAGAAGCGATTGATGAATCAACGTGCACCATTGTGTTCCTGTCTACAAATTTCATGAAGAGCCCGTGGTGTAAAAGGGAAGGAGTGCTTGCCATTCATAAGGCGGTGGAGTCAGGAGAAAACGCCGTTATTCCAGTTCTAGTTGATCTCTCTCCGCAGCAAATCCCTTCTCCTTTTAAAGGCATTAAGTGTATTTCAGTCAAGCACCAAGAATTGATCCTGAAGTTAACTGCAGCAGTTAAAGGTATGTATATTTCAATCTGTACACACATTGTTTTGATTTGTGATTCCAGACATTGAAATATATGCATGGAGGGTTGGCCTTGGTCAGTATTTAGACTGATTCAGGTTTGCTAGTAGGGGTTTGTATGTGTTTGTATTTCCCAGTATTCTGCTAACATTTTACTTGTTAAAATGACTTTAAGGTTATGTGGAGAAAGCCACTGTTGAAATCACTGTTTCCCATTGATGCAAAACCAATGGTTCTATAATCCCCTGTTTGCTTTTTATTCAAATCTTGCTTTTTTGTGCTACAGCAGGTTCAAGGAAGTCACCGACGTATGGAGAGCTGCAAATCGAGCTTCAGAATAGACACAAAGAAAACGAATTTCTACGAGACCAAATCACAGTGTTGACAGCCAAACTTCGAAAACTTCGAAAACCTCCCTTGCTTCGTATTGATTGATACAGTTCATGCGATTTTTAAAAACTGATTATGATTTTGAGAGCGTTGAATTATCTTGCGTCACCTCAAGAGCTACATTATATTTCATTTTCAACATTAATTTCTCGTGGAATTTCAGCGTGTTGTTTATTCTATGCCATGCACATATATTGACTGCAAAAATTAAATGATTGATGTTTTGCACTCTTCCTTATCCTATAATTCCAAAACTTGTTTTTTTGCCTGCTGTAGTCGTTAGGATCTTAGGCAGGTATATAACATCATCAAACATTTTACATTAAAAATTCCAGTGAATTAACATTTTTATTGATCCGTTTGATAAGATAATGCTATTTAAGAATATGTGGCAGTGGCGGATTTAGGAGGGTGTCAAACCAATGTTCCCCTCTTGAAAGTAGAATTTTGACTAGCTGAATCGTACCAAATGGCACCATGCGCCCTCTAAAACACCAACATTTTTCAGGGCCCTTCAGCGGGCCCAGAACCCCTGCCAAGTAGGGGGTGAGGGTCAGTTTTGCATCTGCGGACCCCACCCTCTATAAATAATCCGCCCCTGTATTAGTATTTTTCTGTTTGTAACGGTATCGCTTATAATGGTTTCTTTTTTGTAGCCTTAGTATCAAAATTTATACATTGAGGATGCCTCAAAATCTACAATGTTGTCCTTAAATTGGGGGTTTTAACTTTACTGCTGTAAAAATGCTTTATTGTTTACTAAGAAAAAAGACAATTAAGCCAAGATTGATGGTACATAATTTTAAAATGAGGTTTTATCTCTCGTTATGTCAGTTGTTAGTGTATGGAATAACCATCCGGTTCTCACTACTATAAATTACAGCAGTGTTGATCGACTGTGTGTTTGGGGAGATTATCTTATATTATATACCTGTGAACCGTATCTGTTCCCCTGTATCAAGGCTTCCTTAAAAACCGTAACGACATTTTAATTAAAAATCACATTTTTGATGTTGTATCACAATTGTTTCTGCAATAAAGTGTTCTTGTGCAACTTTTCATCTACCCTTTATCTAAAATATTTGTTTTGAAAATTCATTTACAATATTTATGTGAAACTATTGTGAGTTACAGTAGCGCATGAATACGCTTATGCGTAAGTTTAATTACAGCGTATGTGCATAAAATGTCGTTACGTTTGCTTTTTATTGCCAAAACAAAAATGGTTTGTGAAAATGTATAATAATTGCAATATATTTAAATTGTAGGATATACAAGTAGCATGCTCATTTTAAGGAACTAATGAAACTTAATTATACACGCACTGGTAATCTGTAATCTATTGTCAAAAAGAAGTATAAAAACAGAATGTGTGCATTAACCATTTAGAATATTTACTCAATTTGAAAAATGCGATACACGACGGTGTGTCTGTATAGTGTTCTCCAACTTTTTGCAACATTTATTTGCCCTTAAGATTTTTTTTTCTCATCAAAACCATTATATATATATATATAGGAACTATTATATATATAATTGCGGAAAACGCAATATATTATTATATATATAAATGTAAGTGTAAGTAACCATGCTTAGTCTAAGAGTACAACTCTTTCGCTTCTGCAAGGTGTTATAGCTTTATTCCACACCGTGCAGTTTTTTTGTCTTGTTTATTTTTTATTATTTTTTTTTCTTTTGCTGTATATGCATACCACTGTGTACTGGGTATGGAATATGGATTCCATATGGTCTGCCCGTTTGTTTGTTTGTGGTCAGTTTTCGGTGAGGAAACAGCAAATTGTGTAATCTTTTATAAAAAAGGGATTATCTTGACAAAGGTAAATAAACACACTGACTAGTGGAAAAAGCAATATATTAATAAGGTACTTTTTAAGGATACAATTCATATGCTGTAAACCCTAATGTTATAGGTTCTTTTTTATCTTAATGTGAAATATTATAGAGTTACCATATAGTAAGTAAGCTATCACTTTATATACCATGGTCCTGAACCATAACTTAAAATCATTTTGTTGTGTCTGTGAAATGTGCGAGTACTACTGGTATAATATATACTATGTTATCCCCCCCTTACTCAAGGGTCACAATTTTATGTTCAAATTTTAACTTAAATACTTGATCTGTAATTTGCTGCACGCAGTTCAAGCCAGTAATTAGTTAATGTGTGCCATAGCTGACAGTGTTTATCTATTTACATTATTGTTGTTTTTTTCTTGGTGCTTAAATAAAACAAATCAGAATATTAAAAAATGGTTTGAATTATAATGGAAGTTAAGTTTTAACGTGGTAAGGAAATGGTTAGACACAGTTAAACCACGCTGCTTTTCAAAACATATATAATTTCTAATTCATAAACTATTGGAATCTGAGGCAAAATCTATTTTATGAGAAAAAAATAACACATGTACTAAAATCTTTCCATACATTATGAAAGAAACGACGATAATCAATTAGTTAATTCGGAAATGATCATATCTGCCGGAAGCATAAACATTTTGAATATCATTGATTCACTTTCTAAGATTTATATGAGAGAAGGAACATAAACGGACGACATAGAAAACAAAATGTTTGTATAATATAGTTATTGTTGTATAAAATGATCGTTGATTTTGCACCAAAAAGGAAATGAAACCATTACAATTATTGTTTTCATTCCAAACACCACGTGCATACTTTGAGTAACTGTTTGTTATAAATAGCCCCAAGATATGTACAAATAATGGAGTTAGTGCTTGGACGAGTGAATGTTAAATGGATAGAAGCATTTAACACTATTCCCGTCGAAATCGGTCGCATCACGTCCTGCGCACACCGTGCCCATTAAACTCAGCAACTAGTCTTGCACAATAAGAGTCATCTGCCGTTATACTTATGTCAGATAATTACGCTAATCTAGAACAAGTGGGCTTTGGTTTTTACTTCCTAAGGAAACGTCACCTGAAGCTGAAAATCCATATTGCTGTAGGAAACCGGTAGCTCAGCTTAAGAGCCATGGTGTGAGCCGATCATATGATAAAGACAGTATCTGCCACCTTGCGGTTGTTCCTTATCTGACCTCAACCAGTGTATCTAGTATTATATCAGATTCTTAAGGACAATTAAATGTTGCAAAAAGTTGGAGAACACTAGATTGTATCGCTCTGAGGAACCCAGTATTTTGTTTGGGGAGCGTGTGTGTGTGTGTGTGTTGGGGGGTGGGGGGTGGGGTGGGGGTGGACGCATTGTTCTCCTTAATTCCGCAAAGGAATCGTCAAAACAACATGTTAACTATGGTGTAAGTTTAGATTATTGACTTCTGATAACAATACATAGGGATAAAAAACAGCCCAATTACTTTGACAGATACACATTTTATGATTCATTCTCCAATAAACCTCTTTCAGCCACATATTGCGTTTGTTGAGACAATTGCGCCGTACATCAACAGCAATAAAGGGGGAATTCCCCAAAAATCCCCCTGTATTATAATACCTGAAGCTGAGTCGCCATTGTACATGTCGTTTCCAGCTGGTAAGTTTACGTGATATTTTATCAAATTTTGAGGTGTGATGTCAACCATATCAGTGTCAACAGGTGACAAACGTCTAGTCGTAACTGAGATGTAGTTGGGTTGGTGACATTTGGGTAAAAAACTTGCGCATGACAACATGTAAATTGCAGTGTTTACGCGTAAAGAGCGAGCTGGAAAATTTGACGTTTCGGTTTGGGTTTGTACTTGAATGTGTTGTTCCGCAAAAAAAAAAAAAAAAAAAAAAAAAAAAAAAAAAAAAAAAATTATAATAATAATAATAATAATAATCCAGTTTTACATAATTTGAAGGATTTTTTGAGCCAATAGGAATGATGTGTGTTTGTGTGTGTGTGCATGCGCGTTTGTGCACATGTACCCTGCAGGTCTCACTAGCCCGTTGTGGTCCCCGCCAACTACGTACGCCATGGTATTGTTATCATGAATTAAGTATACACCAGACTGTGTATAAAAATTTGCACCTGACTCAATCAGATTTATCTCTGTCATATGCATGATCTTGTTTGATTGACCAAAAACTTATTGCGCTTGTTGAGATAAACACATCGACAGCAATTAAGGGGAATTCACTTAACCCTCCCCCCTCGTCACCTCTAATTATAGAAATTCGCTATTTGTACGGGCTGTTTCCAGCTAGTTAACCTGATAGTTAACCAAGTTAACCTGATATTTTATTGAAATGTGATTTATCTACCAAATAGATATAAACAAGTGACATATACCTCGTTGCCACTGGGTTGACGAATTGCTGTTAATATTTTGGTACAATGTTCCTTCCTCCGTTATGACAAAATTGATGAAATTGTTTGCCAGTTAGGATCTCCGTGGGTTATTTTGATATTACTTTCTATTTAGGCCTGAATGCGTTTAACATGACGATTTCCAAAATCCCCAAGTCTAAGGAATCATTTGACCAGAATGATTTAACGATAACACCAATAGTACTCTTAATAGCGACATTTAAGCTGCACAGAACATTTCTTCGGGGTGTATATGTGTGTGTGTGTGTGTGGGGGGGGGGGGGGGGGTCACGCCAGATAGGAGCGGGATTGAGACCACAGATGGATGTGATAATGTAAAAGCGATTGTACATTTTTTTGTATATTATATGTTACGGTGGTGTCTCTGTGTCAAGCTGCTTCTTTTCTGGGTCTTTACATATTTGGTAAGTTCATATTGTACATTTCATCTTTTTATATATTTCAACTTATGATGCTTATTCATATTATTTCAGACGAGTGAAATTTAGACATACGTTGTCCTCTTCGTTGGAATGTGTACAGTATATAGCCACCAGCCAGTATGGGTTACGCAGAGCTTCAAGCTTCAAGCAAAAGATGGAGATATAGAGAGGTTACAGCATCTGCTGACTGCCGGGCATATCGATATCAATGAGCAGGCCTGGGTAACAACTTTGATTCCTCTCTCTTTACTTATGCCGTTGTCGATATGTTTAATAGAATTTAACGCGCTACACGTAAGAAATAACGATTTATTTAATGCAGACAACCCATGGCATAGACTGAATCATCCACTGCATCATTTCACTTTCCCTTCCCTCTTTCCACTACTCGAGGTTTTCTATGTGATAGGCTAGTCATATACCAATGGTAACGATATAATAAGTTCAATAAGTATTCAATACATGTAACAGATTTCATTTACCACGTGCACATATGAAATAAACGATCTGCTTTGGCGTTGGCACGTTCCTATAATATTTTGTTTCCATACAAACCACTATGGTACAGTGTTATAACAATCACAGCGTTGTACATGCCCGTATCAACACAGGTTTATCCACTGTATACTGGCCTGTTATGCAGCCCCTATGCAGAAGCCAAACTTATAATTAACACGGCACTCATCAATATGTTTTTCAGTTAAACCTTATCATCGAAACTAGATGCTTTTTTCTACGGTACTTGAAATATATGTGTTTAATCACATTGTTTGTACATATCCACAGGGTTGGAGTACACTTCTTCACTGTGCTGCAGGGGGGGGCCGTACGCAATGTGTTCAACTTCTCCTCCAACACGGGGCGGATACCGATATACAGGATAAGGTGAGTGTAGAATTGTCAGGACACAGCAGTATGGCCACATTTACATACAATTACATTTTTCCTAAAGTCGTGGGAAGAAACATGTTGTGTTTTAAATGACCAAGTCTTTTCTTATAAACTAACAAATCAACATTAAATGGAACACGGCATATTGTTTACAGTAGTGTAATTATATAAATATGATTATTTTTTGAAGCGTGGTGATGCCAAATACAGAAGTACAAATAAAGTTATGAAATTAAATATTCCTTATCTCTTTCAAAATTTCGCATAGAATTGACATATTGAAATGATAATTTTATTAATCAACTGCGCCACTGGGCTGTTAATACAGCCGCTATACAGAAGTCAAATTTTACAATGTATATGAACACGGCACCGATCAATTTTTTTCAGTTAAGCCTTATCATCAAACCCAACACTTTATTCTAGGGTTCTTGAAATATATGTGTTTAATCACATTGTTTGTACATATCCACAGTTGGGGAGGACACCACTTCACTGTGCTGCAGATCACGGCTACACACAATGTGTCCAGCTTCTCCTCCAACACGGGGCGGATACCAGTATACAGGATTGGGTGAGTGTAGAATAGTCAGAACACAACAGTATGGCTACATTTACGTACGTCTTCATTTTTCCTTAAGTTGTGAGAAGAAACATTATTGTGGTTTACATTCTCTTGACCAAGTCTTTTCTCATTTATGAATAAATCAACATAAAGCACATTGTAAAATAGTACACGGCATAATGGTTTCAGTAGTGCAATTAGTTAAGTATAATTACGTTTGAAGTGTGATGTTAAATATAGAAGTACAAACAAAGTTATTTTATTAAATATCCATTATTTTTTTCAATATTTTACATAGAATCGACAAATTGAAGTGATGATTTATTACTCCACTGCATCACTAAGCTGTTAATACAGGCCCAATACAAAGGCCAAATTTAATGTTAACACAGCTACGATCATTTTTTTTTTTCAGTAAAGATTTGTCATCAAACCCAATACATTTTTCTATTGTTCTTGAAATATATGTGTTTAATCACATTGTTTGTACATATCCACAGGCTGGGATGACACCACTTCACTGTGCTGCAGATTACGGCTACACACAATGTGTCCAGCTTCTCCTCCAACACGGGGCGGATACCAGTATACAGGATAGGGTGAGTGTAGAATAGTCAGAACACAGCAGTATGGCTTCATTTACGTACAGTTACATTTCTCCTTTAGTTGTGAGAAGAAACATTATTGTGGTTTACATTCTCTTGACCAAGTCTTTTCTCATTTATGAATAAATCAAGATTAAAATAGAACACGGCATAATCTTTCCATTAGTGCAATTAGTTAAGTATAATTTTGTACGAAGCTTGATTTTAAATATAGAAGTACAAATAAAGTTATTTAATTAAATATCCATTATTTCTTTCAATATTTTACGTAGAATTGACACATTGAAGTGACGATTTTATTAATCCACTGCACCACTGATCTGTTAATACAGGCCCAATACAGAGGCCAAATTTAATATTTACACAGCACCTATCATTTTTTTTTTTTTTTTTCAGTTAAGCCTTGTCTTCAACCCCAATACATTTTTCTCCTGCATTTGAAATATATGTGTTTAATCACATTGTTTGTACATATCCACAGTATGGGATGACACCACTTCACTGGGCTGCAGATCACGGCCATAGACAATATGACCAGCTTCTCCTCCAACACAGGGCGGACACCAGTATACAGGATGATGTGAGTGTACATTAGCCAGAAGACAGCAGTATGGCCACATTTACGTAAATCTTCATTTTTCCTTAAGTTGTAAGAAGAAACATTATTGTGGTTTACATTCTCTTGACCAAGTCTCTTCTCATTTATGAATAAATCAACATAAAGCACATTGTAAAATAGAACACGGCATAATGTTTTCCGTAGTGCAATTAGTTAAGTATAATTACGTTTGAAGTGTGATGTTAAATATAGAAGTACAAACAAAGTTATTTTATTAAATATTCTTTATTTGTTTCAATATTTTACATTTAATTGACAAATTGAAGTAATGATTTTATTAATCCACTTCATCACTGAGCTGTTAATACAGGTCCAATACGAGGCTAAATTTAATATTAACACAACGCCGATCATTTTTTTAGTTAAGATTTGTCATCAAACCCAAAACATTTTTCTACGGTACTTGAAATACATGTGTTTAATCACATCGTTTGCACATATCCACAGAATGAGACGACAGCACTTCACTTAGCTGCAGATCACGGCCACACACAATGTGTCCAGCTTCTCCTCCAACACGGGGCGGATACCAGTATACAGGATTGGGTGAGTGTAGAATAGTCAGAACACAGCAGTATGGCTTCATTAACATACATCGCCATTTTTCCTTAAGTTGTGAAAAGATACATTATTGTGGTTTACATTCTCTTGACCAAGTCTTTTCTCATTTATGAATAAATCAACATAAAGCACATTGTTAAATAGAACACGGCTTAATGTTTTCAGAAGTGCAGTTAGTTAAGTATAATTATGTTTGAAGTGTGATTTTAAATATAGAAGTACAAACAAAGTTATTTGATTAAATATCCATGATTTCTTTCAATATTTTACATAGAATTGACAAATTGAAGTGATGATTTTATTAATCCACTGCATCACTGAGCTGTTAATACAGGCCCAATACAGAGGTCAAATTTAATATTAACACAGCACCGATCATTCATTTCAGTTGAGCTTTGTCATCAAACTAATGAAATTAATGAAAGTATAAAAAGGGAATATTTTATGTTTCTGATAAATATTTTATATTATTTTAAAAAATTAAAAATTATAATATTCAATATAATTGTGTATGAACATTTTATCCGCTTCGTGTTCCTTAACTTTTTATAACATTTGTTCTTGGGGATATTTTTCCTCTTGGGAAAACTTTTGTTTAGTTGTTATGTTGTTAAGTAAATGAAATACACTTTCACTAATTGCAAGTTATAATTGAAGAAAAATCAAGTATGAGTAAAAAGAAAGGGAATTATTGTGTGCAAGTTAAATTTCTATCACAGTCAACAAGTGTAGAAAATAATTTCCCATTCGCAAAAGATGGAACATGTCACTCACATAGCCAGATTTGATTGGTTATTTTATTTTTTTTCAGTTAAGCCTTATATATGTTACAGATATAAAAGAAACCCGAAACTTTTTAAACTGCATTTGAAATATGTGTTTTATCATATACTTTGTACATATCAACAGTTTTTCATGAGGACGCCACTTCACTGGGCTGCCAGTGGCGGCCACATAGAGTGTGTCCAGCTTCTCCTCCAACACGGGTCGGATACCAGTATACAGGATAAGGTGAGTGTAGAATTGACGAAATATATATTATAACTTGACTCCGCTTTATTTTCTCGAGTCCCATAAAACAATTATTTCTTCATCGCATTATTCTTTAGTCTGTAGTTCATTACTTGTATTGATGTACATGAAGAAGCATTTCATGTTTAAGTAACATACTGTAAGTCATGCATATGTATTTAATCTGAATGGTATGTATGTGACATAACACACTGTCATCCAGCGATATATGCAAGAACACCTCATTAAAGTCGCAGCACATTATGTGACATTGAGAGAAAGACCTGGCATTTCACTCTGAAACATACATTAGGGCAAATAAGCAGTATATTACTATGGTCACATACTCTAACATCTCTAGGTATGTACAAGACTAGTGTATCTTTAAAATTAGGGGAGTGCTGGAAAACACTTTTCACCGGTCTGTATAAAGCGGTTTCAATTTTGTCCCCTATAGTTCATAATAATTTCTTTATATATATCGTAGGAGAAAAAGACACCAAGAATGTTGGCAGAAGAAAAAGAGCACATTGCCGTAGTTGAACTGCTGAGGCGTTTTGAAGTACATGACATACAGGTATATTTACCAGTGAGAAAGTGTTAAACGCACATTGGATTATGATGCATTGAGCTTTAATAGTATTTTTTTTTTTTTTATATTGGAGAATCGTTTGCAGTTGCTAATTTTGTAGGACTGTTGTGTACGTAATGTTTTTGGTGTTTTTGAACATCTTGTGTTACATTCCTTTAAAGATATCTCATGGAAATATTTGATTCGTGAATTAATATACAAGGAATATATTGAAGTTTAGGCAGAGCCCCAGAGTACAGCGCGTTGGGGGCTATATTTATTGGCATAACTGCACACGGGTGTCTTGATATATGTAGCATACATGTATCTGTATTCACCTTATACCGGTACCTACAAAATAGCCTTGTTAATTCCTTACAGTTGTACATTCAAACCAGAACTTTAGAGCACCTTGCTGAAATATTAGGCCCTGAAGAATATGGCATATTTAACCTGACCAACTTTGGCCCGAACTTTCCTGATCTGTTTCAATTCCAAAAAATTCAAGGAGTGAAAGATTGGGTTGCCAAGAACAATTACACCACTGTTAAAGATATAAGGGATGGGCTACTGGCTGCAAACCGTCTGCGACTGTCCCGTAAGTAATCCACTAAATTAACCGCTATTATTTCGATGTTATAAAAATCATCTTATTGCATGATCTCGATGCAACAGAAATCGAACTGTAAGATTGGGGATAAATAGAAAAGATAAGGGTAAAATATAGATAAAATGTATACCTTTACATACATGGATGTGTGGCTGTATCAAGGAATTTCTATTTTTGTCGTACTTATTTATTAATCTATTTATTTATTTATTTTTTTTTATTTTTTTATTTTTTATTTTTTTTTGCCCAGTGAATTGTAATATTTATTTGGCCAAGATATGTCTACAAAGATGGCAGTAAACTAATGTAAATATGTATTTATGTGCGCTGTTAACATGTACACTAAAACGACCAATTGCGTGCTTCACATTTTTAATTAACTGACTGAGTATGAAAAACACATCAGACCCAGTGTCTGCATCTCACTATATTTAGGATCTATTAATTTTTATTTGTAACAGGTGCGGCAGTAGAGTATTATACTCAGGTGGTAATAAATATCTCAAACATGCCCCCCGATGAATTTGAAACACTCTGTAGAACCCTGACCACTGCAAAGTACATGCACCAGCACACACCAAGTTCAACGACCCGTGGTCTTAAAAGTGCAAGGTGAGTGAAGTTTCGCCATGGCGTGAGGTGTTGGAATATCAACGTTTTTTCTTCGATTATTTTTTTCTGGTATATATGGGAAATCGTTGCGTTAAGCTAGGCATTAATGAATATACAGGTATATCACGCACACACACACCCACACACATTTTAGAATACAGGGTACTTTTCTCAATTGCTTGTGCGCCCTCCGTTTGTTTGCATACGTGTGCATGCATGTACTTGTACGCACGTGTGTTTATCTGCAAGCATGTATGCATTTTCTGTCATAATACACATGTATCCTTCATGTTCACAGTTTACCATTGGATCAATACCGCCAGGACGCGTTCATTGCGCACAGTGAAGAGGATGAGTCCACTATAGAACCAGTCCTGCTCCAGCTAAAAGAAAGCGGGATCCAGTGTTGGTACGACAAAGAAGACCTCATTCCTGGAACATATGTGATTTATGAAACTGTTGAGGCGATTAGTGCATCTATGTTTTCCATCTTGTTCCTGTCCAAGAGTTTTATCCAGAGTGGTCGGTGCAAATTCGAGATGGAGAATATCATACGGAATGCCACAGAGAAAGAGCATGGCGTCATCCCTGTTGTTATGAACATAACGCCAGAGGAATTTCCTGATGGATTACGCAACTGGAAACATTTCTTTTTCGATGATCAAGAGCTCGTTTCAAAGATTTTGGCAGTTATAAAAGGTATTGAAGTTTTTTTTTTTTTTTTTTTTTTTTTTAATTTTGCTGTATCTTTTGTTGTAAGGGCCTCATACCCAGTATTATAGATATTAACATAGATGGATATATATATGTTAAGCCATTTCTTCGTATATAAGATAGATAATTTATAAGTGCTAAATTTATTCTACGTATTTTAAACCAGCCATTTAGATGGAATATCATGTTTCTATATTGATCGACACTTATTGACAACAGAGAATATTTGTGATATTGTTTTACATTTACACATGCATATATACTATATGCTTATCTTCCATTAAAACAGGGCCAAAAGTAATCCCCACGTATGGCCAACTTCGACAAGAGAACGGGATTTTGCGAGACGAGAACGAGGTTTTACGAGACGAAGTCCGGAAATTGACAGATAAACTTCGTCTTCAGAGCCAATAAATGGATGTCAGTCGACGTAACGTGGTTTTATGTAACTGGCATATATAAGGCTTGATGTCTCAAATGATCTTAAAATTACACCAGAGTATATTTGATTAAATAAATGGTTGTTTCATTCCTTGAACTCTTTGTACAATTATTTTGTGAAACTGCTCGAGTGATGTCCCGGTCTTCTTGTACATTTTGTATTCATTCCAATGCCAGGCCCACTGATTGTGTTTATATGTACGGGGGAGATCTCCTTATAACTACTTCATACTCAGTACTCCTCGTAACACGTGTCACACCGTATTCTTCATTCTTATTCCTAAATTACATTTTAGCCACTCAATCAATGATATGGTTACTGATTACTTTTTTACTAGAAAACTGTGCACTAGTATATATACATGTGTCTACGAAAATTGGCGGCCATTTTGGATATATCATGTTTCCCATTTGGGATTCCTTGGGGTTTTAGTATGTCGAGCAAACACAAAACGTTAAATATCATTCCCAGGACGTTACCATGATTTTTTTCTCTCTTTTGTTTTATAAAAACGTAATAAAACGTTCTGTGTTTTCTGAGAAGCTTCAGTGTAATAAATATGTTGCCATTTTGACCAGGTTCACCACAGGTTTTGTCAGTTTCACCTGAACTATTAGAGTACACATTTATTATGCTGTAAATTGATGCTGTAAATTCTACGCTTAATGCTTAAATATCAACAAGGGTTTTGTTTGTGATATACGTAATAATGATTGGTGTAGGAGTAGAACTTCCACTGATTCTGTTGGGTATCATAGCTTTAATTTCAAAAAGTGAAGTTTTATTTATTTATTTATTTATTTTTTATTTATTTATTATTTGCCGTACGTTTCCATACCACTGTATACTGGGTATTGAATATAGAGAAGCAAATTGTTTTCTCATTTGTTTCTGTTCAGTTTTGTTGTCGATGACAAAAATCCATATTATGCAATTCTTTTCCAAAAAGAGTTATGGTTTCAAAAGTTGTGCACTTACTGACTAGTAGAAAAAGCAGTGCATGTTTACATATCTTTTTTATATATAATGCATATGACCTGATTTTTAAGGATAAGATTTCTATGCTACATGTATAAAGTATTCCTTTTTTAATCTTGTATGATTTTGATCTTAATGTGAAATGCTATAGATTTACTGCATAGTATGTTACCACTCTTTATACATCATGGTTCCAAACCATAAATTTGTTCAATCGTGCAAGTTCAGGCCCGTAGCCAGCAATTTCAAAGGGGGGGGGGGGGGGGTTCTTTTTCTGAAAAAGTGGACCTTTTCCCATAAAAATGTAATATACCTAGATCGATTTTTAACTTAAGTGGACCTTTTTCCAGCAAAAGGGGCGGTTCTTTCGAACCCCCCGACCCCCCCGGGCTAAGGGCCTGAAGTTCTTTTTTTATCTATATAAGACAAGTTATAGAGTTACCAAGTTTATAGTATGTCATCACTTACTATATCATGGTTCCAGACCATAGCTTAAAATCCTTTTTAGTGTGTTTGTAAAAAGTGCGAGTTTTACTAGTGTACTGGTACATGCAATATACGTACATGTATGTTATCACCCCGTATCTGTATCTCAAATCCCACTATGGCATGTCTTATATTGGGTTCCCATACTTAGATCGATCCATCTGGATCGACCTAACTTCCTGGTGGATCGCGTTAAGTTGCTACGAGCTCAACTTGAGGCTTAACTGTCTGTCACGCCTACCGAATCAGCTAGTGTAAAGATAATTACCCCCTAACAGCTTTACTAGGCGTGACAGACATTTAAGCCAGTTAAGTTGATCGCATTTTAGTGAGACACCCCAAGGGAGACAGATCGATCCAAAACTATGTAGGAATGGTCTCCTAAATTACAACTTAAACCCATGGTATGTTATGTGCTTTATGTAGTCCAAGTTAGTAATTAAGTTTGTTGAGTTATATTACATTGCTGTTGCTTTTGCTTTTTAGTGCTAAAATAAAACGAGTCAGAAAAATGTTTAAAATTTTTTCATGGAAGTTCAGGTTTAATGTGGTTTGATAACCGGTAGACACAGTCAAACTACACTGCTTTTTAACTTGGTGGTTTGATAAACGAAAGTTAGGGGAAAAATGTCGTCTATCGTTGAGTTCATTTTATACCTGTCGGGAATAATAATAATATCTTCTGGCAGTAAACATCTTTGGAATATTACTGATTCACAATCAAAGATCACTACATGAACAGACGTATAAACGGACGACAGTGCAAACGAAAAAAATATGTATATTAAAGTTATTATCGTGCAAAGTGACCGTTTATCTTTCGCCAAATCATTAAAACTTTTTTTTTTCATTTCAAACACCAGTTGCATACTCTGAGTATCTACTCTAAATATGCCCAAAGCGTGCGCGAACAATGGAGATAGTGTGTAGCTTAATTGTACGAGTGAAAGATAAATTAATAGAAATCTTCAAAACTATTCGCTTCAAAATCGGTCACATTACGTCCTGCGCATACCGTGCCCATTGAGCTCAACAACAACAAAATAAGAGTCATCTTACGTTATACATATGTCAGGTATGAACAGTAGCCTACTTTCTAAACAAAAGTCACCTGAAGCTTAAAATCCATCTTGCTGTAGGCTGCCGGTACGTAGCTCAGCACACGAGCCTTCGTGTGAGCCGGTCATGTGATATAGGCAGAAGCTGCCTCCTTGCGGTGGTTCCTTATCTGACCTTAACCAGTGTATCTACTAATATAGGGGGATCTGAACATACAACCATATGAACAAATAGCTGTAAGAGATAATATAAGATCAGTAAATATAATAAGTAGGGGTGCGGGGACAAACGCCTGCATTGATGCAGTGGATAGGTCGACATTTTATAAGTAGAGGACAGCGTACCCATACAAGAACCTCGGGGTATTGGCTTGGACCCTGTATGCTTCGATGCTTAGTCAGGCCCAGTTTTATGTACGGAATCTCGTTTTCTCTCGTCACTAGTTTGTTTTGGGGTGTCTATATCGGCTTATTGAGTCTACAAGACGACTCAGCTCTGTAGTCGACAACTTCAGTTAAATGTCTTGGAAATGTAAAATAAAGCTAAAAAATTAGACACAACCTTACGCCTCTTAAATATTCTCAAGCTAGATAGGGTCTTTCTCGAACCTTTTATATTTAAATATCATATGAATACACGCTGTCCAGTATAAATGTCGATATAAATGGCATTTTAATGTAGGTGAACTATTTGACGTCGGAGACAGTCCACCTTACACTATCAAAGTACTGTATGCATATCTTCGCTCTGACTACCTTGATAGATCGAATTTCGTGAAAACAAAAAGGTCAAATTACTTACGAACACGATTGAAATCTCGTTCCTTATTGTCTCGTTATAAGCTACTAACTGAAAAAAAAAAAAACGCTTATATAAGAATTCAATACGCAGCGCTGAATAAGATGTTGACTGCTTACATATAGTCTATAAACGTTATCCAATTTTTATTTCTAATGATAATAGGCTAATATTTTCCCAATTTGGAGCATGGACCTGTTCATATAGTACATGTATATATACATGAAGCATATATTAGATTTAGAATGGAGAAAGTCACCGTGTATACGCAGTGATTTCTTAGAATTGTAATTAGAAAAAACTCACATGTCATTAGATATGCTGACAGTGTGTAGGTGACAGGGGGCGTTTCAAAAGAAAAAAAGCCGCCTCAACCTCCACTTTCAGACTTATAGGTCTAGAAGTCGGTAGTAGTTCATAAAATAAAACATAAAAAATACACGGTCATCGTTTCAGACCTATAGATCTACAAATAAACTTACTTTCTCCAAGCCGGTTAACTTATGATTGATATTTCTTAAAAGAAGAGTTCCAAATTTGTGTATTAAAGTTTAAACAAACTTTTTGACCAAATTTCTTTCATGAAACGACCCCGGATCACGTGAGGGAGGGGGTATATAAGCCCCTCAGCCAGTTTCCAGTCTCCCTGTTATCGTAGCAGACATATTGCTCATACATGCAGTGAAAAGGTCTTCTTTAAAGGAAGAAAAACATGTCAACAAGGGAGATGTTCAGGTGCGTATAATTACAATAAGTTTTGAGTTACGTTTTAAGTTTTTGATATGAAAAAAAATAAAAAAAAAAAAAAAAAACTGCATTTCTTGTATTGGATAAGGTTATTTCTCGGCATTCATATACATCTGTTTTGTTTTTTTTAAACTACAGAGCAAATATTGTGTTAAGTGCTTTATATTACATTATGCTTAAATCATTAAGTATTTAAACGAATATTTCATCTGTAATATTTTACTGATCTGCTTTCCTCAATTTTCGAAGTTGCAATGTACTACATGTACTACATATGGTCTACACAGAAATAAATCCTCTCCGGTCTTTTATTACAGATTTCTCACTTTCCTGGTAATCTGTGGGCTAACAGCGGGGCACCAGGAGGCACAAGGTAACCGTAATAACTGATATGATTATTTCTTTTAATTTATTTGATTTCATATTACACTGTACTGAGCATGTTCTGATGTCTTTTATAGTATTCCCATAGGGTAGGATACGTGCAATTTTTACCTGAATGATTTAGCACAAAATGTATACAGACTCATATAGGCCTACATTTCATTACTACCAATGTGTACAACTGTGATTTTTACTTAGAAGAGACTTATGATAAACTTCCCATTAAATTGTTTGATATGCCAGTACTCAGATCCGCAAATCGACACCAAGACGCGGCCAGGTGTGTTAAACGTAAATAAGATGTGGCTGGCATCAAGTGCTTCTTTATTATTTTTTTCTATACAATTCTATACAATACAATTAGACTATCTATTAAACTAGAGCAAAATCAGCAGAATTGACTTTAAAATGAAACCTGAATATGTTGTATTTATCTCTTTGTTCTGGTAATCATGGACGGAATTTTACTTACAGATGCGGAGCCTAATGGTGATGAAAACAAACGGGCATTGCATCTCCCTAGGTAACATGATTTTAATGTATCTTTACTGTCTAATTAACTACATGCTGCTCATCTAATTCAGGCTTTTATTTTTGTTAAAGCATTTTAGCCATCTTATCTTACTGTTTTACTTTTTTAATCTGAAAAGTTAATCGAACAGTACGTACTGATTCAATATAACCTTTTTGACATTTTCATGAAGATAAAAAGGGATTTAAAGAAGAACATTTTCTTTGGAAAGTTCAGGATGCCGTAAGCAAACAAAAGAAAAAAAGATATGAAATCGAGAAAGAAAAGAAATAATCAAGCAAGCGAATAAACGGCAAAATACTGCACTGGTAATTGTGTCACTATAAATACGCTTTATTCCATACACTAAAACTAATAAAAGTAATCAGCAAACAAACCAAAAATCTAACTATTGTGCTTTCAGTTCCCTTCCCCTCAGCAAGGTCAAAGATGCCAAGAAAGTCTTGATGAAGACACCCCATAGGAAAGTCACTGTGGAATTCTCTGGGTACTTTGGTCGACGTAACAGCGTCGGGGTGCGGAAGAGAGACATTCTATTCGTGATCAAACACGTGATCGAAGAAGGGGCACAGAAAGGAATGAAAAACGTCACCATATTCGACTTTGAGAAGGCTGCCAAAGCACGTAGTAAAAGAAACACCTTTGGCGACGCTGTGTATAAATATGTTGTTAGTATTGTCAGATAACTGTTTGTTGACTGAGTGTGATACATAGGCCCTATACAATAAGGTGTGTTGCAGATATGTCGGCATATTCACGCCAATGTCCATAAGTGAACTGCCTTTGGGAATTTAAACAAATAAATACCTGATAACCGACATGTAGTAGCACTCCTCCATTACTAATTACAACTACAATATTCACGCATTTTTTTTTTTTTTTTTTTTTTTGTAAATATTTGCCAGCTCTCAATTATTGATCATTCTCAATAATCGATAATATTTGTCTAAAAATCATACAGCTTTGACTGCAGACTTAACTATTGAGTACTGAAAACTGAATAAAAACGTTCACTATGCCCATTGCAGTACGTCTGAATCAAAACCTTCACTGTGACCATTATTAACCCGATTCATGCACTTAGAGAAGAACTATTTAAGGAATTAAAACAAGTGACAGGTATTAAAACTGTGGCTGACATTTAAGCACAGATCCTAACGCACTGACAGATCCAGTATTTTGTTAAGGGAGCGTGTGTGTGTGGGGGGGGGGACGCATTGTTCCCCCTTATTCCGCCAAGGTATCGTCTAAACGATATGTTAGATATGGTGTAAGTCTAGATTATTTACGTATAAGAATACATAGAAATAAAATACAACCCTATTTCTTTGGCAGATAATATGATATTTTCTACAGTAAACCGCTAACAGCCACACATTGCGTTTGTTGAGACAGTTGCGTCGTACATCAATAGCAATAAAAGGGGAATTCCCTTAAAATCCCCCTTGTCACCTCTATTAATAATACCTGTAGCCGAGTCGCCATTGTGCAGGTCGTTTCCAGCTGGTAAGTTAACGTGATATTTTATCAAATTTTGAGGTGTGATGTCAACCACATCAGTGTCAACGGGTGACATACAACTAGTCGTAACTAAGATGTAATAGGGTTGTTGACATTTCGGTAAAAAACTGCGAATTACAACATGTAAATGGCAGTGTTTACGCGTAAAGAGCGAGCTGGGAAATTTGACGTTTCGGTTTCGGTTTGTACCTGAATGTGTTGTCCCGCTAAAAAAATAA